ATGGGCGGGGCAAGGCGGGGCGGGGCACTGCAAGGAGGGGCAGGGCGGGTGTTGGGTAGGGACGGGTGTTTTGTGTGGGAGGAGCGGAGACGCCCCGAAGCCTTTGGGAGTTTCTGCGGAGACCGTCTGCTTCCCGCCTGGGTTCTGCGGGTTAGGGTGAGGGTTGTGGGGCGATGAACCTACTCCCCACCCGGGTTCTGCGAGATGGATGAGGGGTGTGGAGCGATGGGCCTGCCCCCTGCCTGGGTTCTGAGGGATGGGTGAGGGGTGTGGACGGTGGGCCTGCGCCTCGCCATGTTCTGAGTTGCTGCAGTGTGCCTTAAGGTTTGCAGCTACCACTGCGCTTCGTCCCCGGGTCCAGTGCTTCCCACCAAAAAGTCCGCAGACTCAAGTGTGGACTTCAAAGCTACCTTCTTGAGAACATCTCTAGCTCTGGGACTGTTCTAGGGAAGTGACCTGGACGGGAGTAGGGAAAATGTAGAGGGAAAGAGAAAAGGGGACGAGGAAAGGAGGGAAAGAGTGAGATGGGCTCAGGGAAGAATACCGAGGGTAGAGCATGGCAAAAGAGGGACTGCGGAGGGACCTCTCTGCCCCGGGGTGCCGGTCAGGGGCGAGGCAGGAAGGCCGCCTGTGGTCATCACTGGCTTTGAAGTCTCTCTGAATGGTCTTATCCAAGGGGTCCTGGTGTGGCCGGCTTAAATGGCTTTAAAAACACGTCGCCCCTCCCCGCATGCCCTACTCCTTCCCCTACAGGAGCCACTAGAAAAAAGAAACTGAAAAGCACGCTCTAAGTAGTCAGTATGTTAAAACTGCACTGCTTCAGGGGCCTAGCTTTTCCGTTGCTCTCAGGTTAATACTCATTGTCTTTAATGTGAGTTTTCTTTCAAAGTATACCTGCTGTTTGAAAAAGTTTTTTTTTTTTTTTTTTTTTTATTTTTCATTAATCAGTATTTTTTATTATGGTTTTGTGGGGTACAGTTAAGGGTTAGGTGTACAATGACGTTTCATTCAGGCACCCTGTAGATAAGAAGTGTTTTCCCATCCCCCGACAGATATTTGCTACTGTTAATCCCATCCTCCTCCCCCCCATAGTTTCCCAGTACCATCCGTCATTTTCTCATAGTATTGCATTGGATGTTCAAGGTCCATTATATGAGTGAGAACATGTGATATTCGGATTTTTGTTTTTGTGAGAGGTCACTCAGTATTATAGACTCTAGTTCCATCCAGATTGCAGCGAAATTCATGATTTTGTTCCTTTTTATGGCTGTGTAGTATTCCATCGTGTATATGTACCACATTTTTTTAATCCAGTCCTCTTTTGATGGGCAGCATGGTTGTTTCCAGGTTCTTGCTATTGTGAACAATGCTGCGATAAACATACGTGTGCAGGTACCTTTTTTATAGAGTGATTTGTGTTCTTCAGGGTATATTCCCAGTAGGGGATTGCAGGGTCATATGGAAGGTCAATTTTTAGAGCTTTTAGGAATCGCCACACTGCTTTCCACAGAGGTTGCACTAGTTTACACTCCCACTGACAGTGTAGAAGTGTTCCCTTTTCACCACACCCTCTCCAGCAGCTGTTATTTTTTGAGTTTTCAATCAACAAAGAAATTTCAAATTTTTATGTGAGTTCTATGAACATTTACATTTTGTCAGCCAATGCAAATTTATTTTTTAAAACATCAGCATCAGGTGACTAGATTTGATTTAAGGGCTGAGAGTTAGGATGTTTAAGGTAAATAAATTCTCTAAATCTATTTTCTAATTCTACCACTCTGAGCCTTATAAAATGTTATTGCTCATTCCTTTTATTATTATTGTTGAATATAATAAAAACCTGTTGCTTATTTTCAGAAACAATGAATTATGTGCAAACAGAAATT